GACCTCATCTCTACAATAAATCAAAAAATCAGCCGGGCATGGTAGTGTGTGCCTGTAATTCCGGCTACTCGGAAGGCTGAGATGGCAGGATCGCCGAAGCCCAGCAGGTCGAGGCTGCGGTGGCCAGGAGTGGCTACTGCACTCCAGTCTGGGAGACAGAGTGAGACTCCAACTAAAAAAAAAAAAAAAAATTTTTCATTCATTGTATAGAAGAAACATTTAGTGCTGATCTTGCCATCCTTTCTATATAATACATTTCCTTTATTTTATTTCCTATTTTCTGTTGGGTTTATGAAGTTAGCTTGTTCATTCTTATCATGCAGGGATTTTAAAATTATACATTGTATTTTAATCTTCTATCAGTTACTTAACATTTTAACGTGTTAATTAACTCCTATATTTCTATCTTTGTCTAGAATTTATCATTATCTACAGCTTCTTTGAACAAGTCTAGGACCTCTGCATGTGTTTACTTTTCTTTCTCCAACCTTTAATTTTATAATCATAGACTGCAAATAATTTTTAAAATCAGCATTTGCTTAAACTCAGCTATAAGTTGTCCTAGTTTCTCTGCTTACCTTTTTCCTCTTTTTTGTATTCAGTTTTCATTTTGCTGGAAGTATGACCTTGAGTGTAACGTTCAGAATGAATGTGTGCAGCCATAAATATTCTAAGTACTTGCATTTCTAAAGATGCCTTCATTTGGCCCCTCCCACTTGAATGGCAGTTTGGCAGTTCCCATGGAGAACACTACTTCTAATATGTAGAGCTGCCAGTGACTTGCTGTTCCTTTGTAGATAAGCTGCTTTCTCCCCCCAAAGCTCTTATGATGCTTTACCCTTAGAGTTTTGAAAGTTCATCAGAATGCATTCATTCATTATAGTCTCATTTCAATAGAAAGAATTATGCCTTCAACTCTTCAAAATTTCCTTCTATTGTGGCTCCTTCTTCATTTCTCTGTCTTTAACAAGTATTAAATAAATGCCAGACCACCAGACAGATCTTTCATGACTGGACTTATCTTATATTTTCCATCTCCTCTTTGTCAATTTGCACTATGTTATAGGAGGTTTCTTTATCTTCAGGACCAATTTGACTTTCAGTTATGTTTACTTATGATTTGGATTTATTTAAATTTGGGGTGCTTATTGTTTAAATTTTTTGGCATAACTTTATTTTCCCAGAATTCTTTCTTTGCTACTTTTTTATTTTTGGTAGCCACCATGGGGAAGTCTTTTGTTGTTTTTGTTTTTTTTTTTACATGCAACATATCTTCAAATTTCTCTGAATACATGAGTGAGTTATTCTTCTTAAATTATTTTTTTCTTTGAAATTCTGAAAACTTAAAAAATACAGATTCCCATTACCAAGGTAGAACCGAGAAATCAGTAGTTTTGGAAAGTTTTCAGGTGACTCTGATAATTATTCAGAAACTCTAACTGGCCACTTATAGCTGATGAGTGAAACTTGGCCCACTGCATATTTCTATAAATAAAGTGCTACCAAAACACAGCCACCAACATCCATTTATGTATGGTTTATAGCCACTTTCACACTATAATTGCAATGTTCATATTGTGACAGAGATCACATGGCCTGCAAAACCTATCATGATGATGACACTATGATGATAAAGAAGATGAAGGAGGAGGAGAAGGAGGAAGAGGAGGAGGAGGAGGACAAGGAAGAGTTGTTTACAAGAATAACTTTAAAATGCAGACATCACTTCCTGAGCTCCTACTTAGTGCTACTTACCATGCTGAAATAATCTGGTTTAGCCTGTAATCCCGCACCTTGGGAGGCTGAGGTGAGTGGATTGCCTGGGCCCATGCGTTCGAGACCCACCTGGGCAACTTGGTGAGACCTCATCTCTACAACAAATAAAAAAACTAGCCGGGTGTGGTAGCGCGCGCCTGTAGTTCCAGCTACTTGGAAAGCTGAGGATGAAGGATCGCCGTTGCCCAGCAGGTTGAGGCTGCGGTGGCCGGGAGCGGCCACTGCACTCCAGTCTGGGCAACAGAGTTAGACTCCAATTCAACAAAACAAAACAAAACAAAACAAAAAGAAATAATGTCTTAACACTTGCAACAATCCAGTCAGACAAGTATTATTATCATATAAGGAAATGAAGCCAGGCTCGGTGGCTCAGCCTGTAATTCCCCGCCTTTGGGAGGTTGAGGTGAGTGGACTGCCTGAGCCCGTGGGTTCGAGACCTGCCTGGGCAGTGAGACCTCATCTCTACAAAAAATCAAAAAAAAAAAAAAAAATCAGCCGGGCTTGGTAGCGCATGCCTGTAATTCCGGCTACTTGGAAGGCTGAGGCGGAAGGATCACCGGAGCCCAGCAGGTCGAGGCTGCGGTGGCCCGGAGGGGCCACTGCACTCCAGTCTGGGCGACCGAGTGAGACTCCAACTCAAAAAAAAAAAAAAAAAAATAAGACAAAAAACCAAACCAAAAAACCAAAAAACAAAAAAAAGGAAATGAAACCAGAGAGGCTAATTAACTTTCCCAAATTCACACAGGGGCAAATGGCTGAGGTAGAAAATCAAGCCTTAGTTGATCTTATCCAAAGCTTACCTCTGGGATTTGGGGGACAGAATGTCTGGGTTAATAGCTTGGCTACCTCTATGATATTGTACAAGGCACTACGATATTGAGCCTGGCACTGAACGAGCACTCCATGAATGTTCCATGCTTGTAACTGTTGTCATCACTCCAAGCTGCACCAACAACTAAGTGGGTGAAACCCAGGAATGTTGGGGAGTGACGGATTAAAAAAATTTCCAGGGATAAGAGAACAACATTAAAGTTCCTTTGAAAAGCTTTGAAACAAGAATATGACAAAATTCAAGATCGTATTTACAAAAAACAGAAGTAAAACTATACATTTAAATCAATTAATTGAAAAAAAAATTATCTTAAAGTTTCAATTCCTGTCATGTACCAAGATAAATTTCAAATGAATTAAATAGTTAAATGTAACAAGCATGTACACACACATACACATACACCCCCTCTAAGAAATGCCTATAAACCTCTGGAGGTGGGAGGGATTTCACAACGGAGATGTTGCTGGAATATAGTGTCCATTTAATGCATAAGGTCATTAAAAAATGAAAAGGAAATCACATATATCATATTTTATAAATATACGCCTTAGAAAACCTAAGAAAATGAGTTAATTTTCTAAGTTTAATAAAATGAGAATGTACAACTTTTATAATGGGGGAAAATGCAAACATTACTTAAAAAGTGAATGTAGAATGAGAATTACAGAATCATTTTAAAGAATGACGTTATAAACAAATTGTTGAATGTGGCAGCTCATGCCTGTCATCCCAGCACTCTGGGAGGCCGAGGTGGGAGGATTGCTTGAGTTCAGTAGTTCAAGACCAACCTAGGCAACATAGCGAGGTCTTGTCTCTCCAAAAAATAAAAAAATTAGTCAGGCGTGTTGGTGCACATCTGTAGTCCCAGCTAGTTGGGAGGCTGAAGTGGAAGGATCGTCTGAGCCCAGGAAGTTGAGGCTGCGGTGGGCCATGATTCAGCCTGGGTAACAGAGTGAGACCCCAATTAAAAAAAACAAAAACAAATTATCTAATTGTCTCACTATACAGGTGCCCAAAGGCATGATTTTTCTTTGTATTAGGTATTTTGTAGCAACAATAAAAAATAGAATTTCCTTTATTTAATCATTCAAAAAATCCAATTCTTGTACCTTCTGGGTAATGTTTCTCACTCCTAGTGTTTACATTTTAAAAGTACAAAATAGGCTGGGTTCAGTGGGTCAGCCTGTAATCCCAGCACTCTGGGAGGCCGGGTTGAATGGATTGCCTAAGCCTGAGGGTTTGAGACCAGCCTGGGCAACTTGGCGAGACCTCATCTCTATAATAAATAAAAAATTAGCTGGACATGGTAGCGTGTGTCTGTAGTTCCAGCTACTTGGAAGGTTGAGGTGAAAGGATCACTGGAGCCCAGCAGGTAGACACTGGGTGACCATGAGTGTGTCACTGCACTCCAGCCTGGATGACAGAGTGAGACTCCAACTCAAAAAAAAAAAAAAAAAGTACAAAATAGAAGTTTACAATTCGAGTAGATTTTAATCTCTCCAATGGCTATTTTAAGGTTAATTCTTTTCATGAGGATGTTAAAATGGATCTCTGTGGCAACTGCTCACATTTCTTTGTCTCTGATGAAAGTGTACCGTTTTGAAGTCTTGCATTAATGTTACAATTCTCTGCTGTATAATTAATCACTCGATGTTGCTCCCCCACCAATTACATTGTTCCCATTGTTATTTGCAGATTTCCTTCATAGGTGTATACAGACAAAATGTATTTTAGCTAAGACTTTTCTCCCTTCATCCCTAAAAATGAATGAATGAATGAATGGCTTGATTGATGTTTTGTCAATAGCTCTGTTAAGAAGTGTTCCACAAACTTCCTGACACTTCCCTCATCTATGAGTAAAACAGAAAACACTCAGCTCTCATTGGATTTTCATAACAACTGCCTTGGCGTGGTGCTCTGTCCTACGTGGTCTCTCACTGCA